TACTAATACTCCAGCTTCCTTCCTTCCATTTCCTAGGTACCTCAGCAGTATTGAGCTTATTACCCAATAAGAACCTGCTCACTGATCTTGAACTGGCTTTCTTACCTTCCCATCTCAATTTTTCCACACTCCATTTGGTGCTTTCTGGTATGACCTACCAAATAGACTGGTTTCATTGAAATTTCAGTCTTGGGATCTGCTTTGGGGGATGCCCAATCTAAGACAGTAATATATTCATTTTCCTGCCACTGGACTTGCAGGCTGTTCTCAGTTTTTCAGTATTACAAACAAGGCTGTCTACAAACTTCTGGATATACATGTAGGTTTTCTCTCAGTATTTACCCAACAGAGGAATTGCTGAATTGAAGGGTATTTGACCATCTTCATTTTTAATTAATACCGCCAACATTTTACAAGTCTGACAATGGCAAGGACTGGCAAAAATTCCGTATGTGATGGGTGTGGAATGACAATTCAAGCTGCGGGGGAGAGGCACTGAGGTAGTTATAGTGAGGAATGTTTCACAATTGGTATTTGATATAGTCTAATTAAGACTAATGGGGAATAAACACATGCTTAGAAATAATTATCCCTAGGTCTAAAGTCAACAAGTCTTTTTTTTTTTAATGTAAAAATGTATAATTGTTTTTAAGGGAGGGGTAACAACTTGAAATAAATCAGAAAACACCAAAGATATTAATCATTCTTTTCATATACTTCAAATTTGTACTTAATGCCTTTCTCCTCCTGGACATCGGAAAGAACACCTGGGTATCTATAAAAGAAAAATATGTATAATTATGTATCCATTAAAAACAAAGCTTCCCTGATTCTCAACCAAAAGGCATCAATAGTGTATAAAGTAAATAAAATTTTCCTTCCTTTTTCTCTTTATAACGGTAAGCCACTTTTGTTAAATTGGGTGATTATTGTGCAAATACACTACATATGCAAATGGTAAGAAAAAAATTACAAACTACATAGAAAGATAGAAAATGAAAAGTGTAATTTCTTCTCTTCCTTCTGATTCCTACTTCAATCTGCTAAACACTGTTAGCAGCTTCTCTTGTATCTTTCTACTCCATCACACTCAGCTAATATGTAATTTCTTTTTATTTTTCTTGTAGAGACAGGTTCTCACTATGTTGCCCAGGCTGGTCTTGAGCTACTGGCCTTGGGCAATCCTCCCATCTTGGCCTCCCAAAGTGCTGAGATTATAGGCATGAGCCACTGTGCCCAACCAAGATGTCTTAAGAACTTTTTGCAAATGTTTTACTTGTATCACATTTCTTGTGGAAGCAAAAGAAAAATATAATCTTTAGCTGTTTAGAGCATCACTGAAATTATTATGTGCCCTGCACAGTGACAGATTCACCATTTCTGTTTGATTAATGGTTACCACACTGCTCTATTTCCCTAATGTGTGGCAGACTGCAATTCCTTTACTAGGATCAGTTTATCTGATCTTCCTCAAATTCCTGGGCTCAAGCAACCCTTCTGTCTCAGCCTCCCGAGTAGCTGGGACTATAGGCATACACCACCATGCCCAGCTAATTTTTTGTATATATATTTTTAGTTGGTCAATTAATTTCTTACTATTTTTAGTAGAGATGGGGTCTTGCTCAGGCTGGTTTCGAACTCCTGACCCCGAGCAATCCGTCTGCCTTGGCCTTCCAGAGTGCTAGGATATCTGATCTTTACTATTCCCAATCACTTAGGTCTGTGTTCTTGCTAGCTTCTCATTCAAAGCCCAGTTTTCTCCACTGAAAACTGTTCACTGAAGCCTCCGGTGAATATTGTCATGTTTCCCCAAATCTTGGTGTATCTCCTCGGTGTTGTGCAGGCTTCACCCTGGTACGCTCTAGGTGGTGGTTAGCAACATCCCCTTTACGTAGACTGTGCTTGACCTTTAAATAGACTGGTTCTGTTGTGTGACATGTCTCTGAGCCTGTCTGTCAATAACGTTTTCAAACTTGTAAAATACACAGCATTGTGCCTAGCAAGTTAAGTGCTCCACAAATGTTACTCATTAACATTATTGGTTTGTTTTGTCCGCCTATTTTCTAAACTCAGTGTAGGCAGCAATAATACAGGAAAGCGTTTTAATATCCACAATATCCAAGTTGTAAAATAAACAGCATTGTGCCTAGCAAGTTAAGTGCTCCACAAATGTTACTCATTAACATTAATGGTTTGTTTTGTCTGCCTATTTTCTAAACTCAGTGTAGGCAGCAATAATACAGGAAAACGTTTTAATATCCACAATATCCAATATATTGCTGAGTAACAACAGGCATTAACCTTTTGTTTACTAATTAGAAATTATGCCGTTTGATAAACATAATTAGAGACATGAAGTAACAATAGCATAATGTTTAGGGAGAAGAAAAAGATGATTTCTCTACAATATATTTCAGAGGAAAAGCAATATTTCTATTTACCAACCATTTTCTAATCTATTTCTATTCTACTGTTTTAGTAGTAGTATAGCTTTTTTAAAGAAATGATTTTACTAGGCCAATTTTAAACCATAATTTTAGAGTCTTTGGAATGAGTCATGAAAAGTAACATTTACATATTTTCTTTTGTGCAAAATTCTCAAGAGTGTCAAGATTGTCAGCTAGTAGGACAAAAGCAAAGTATTGAGTTATTTCTAAAACCATGAATAACAACTTAAAAATCACTATGCTATTGGCTGGATATGATATGTAACCATTGTGTTCATGTTAATCTCTGTGAAACTAAAATTCTGTTTACATTGTTCTTCCCATAATATTCACTTAGTCAGTCTGTTTTAATAATGATTATAATTACTTCATAATCATGACTCCAAACTTTTCTAAAGTGCAAACTCCGCCTAAGAGCCATATTTGGACTCTGAGTCCAACAGGATTTGGAAATACCACCTATATGTTATGAACCATCCAGACAGAGACTTCCTTCTAGAATCTTTAATAATTAAGGAAGCCAATGAATATGAATGAACATAAAATCTGAACTGACAAAGGACTACAAGAATAATCCAGAGATAATTTGATGGAAGATAATTAGACGGAAGTCTAAGAAAGAGGTGAATAGAATCTTGAAACAGTTACCCATAAAAAGCAAATCACAATTAAAATCAAGACTCTAAGGAGGAAGCACAGGTTCAGGAGCAAAGGGATGTACAAATAACACGGATAAGTATGCCAGCATCCTGGACAGAAGAGGAAACATAAGCCCATCTAAAACCTACTTCAAGTTGTCCATTGATAAGGGGCATCTGTCCCAGCTCTGGAGCCAAACACTGCCTCCAAAGGCCTCTTTGGTCTTTATCTTCTTAGACTACATGGTCACACACAAGGTTAACTATAAGGAAAAGACTGTTTGGGGCCCATTACATAGAAAATGGCTGATATAAAACATGTGGGGTCATTGATTTGGGTGGGGCCTAGTGTAAAATAGTCTGAGATAGATTTCTTCCAGGCAAGATTAATGAGAGCAGAGCCTTAGAGGACAGGCTGGCACGGTGCTATCAAAAGAATAATTGCACAAACAATGACCTATAGGGGAAAAAGGCAGACACAAAGTAATATCACCTTCCTCTGTTAATATTAACTTCTGCTCTTAGACTTCCATCACTGTGGCTTCATTACACTCTAATTTTATTCTCCCTTTGTCTCACAATAGTTCTTTCTTTCATCTTTATTTCTTCATACTAGTACTTTTTCTTTTTTAACCAGGAAGTATGGTGTTAATAAAAGACACTGTGTTTGAACTGAAAGCTATAAGCACAAGACGACTACCAACAGAGATAATGGGGGCCTAAACCGGGTAGCTGTGGGGAAGGAAAGGGGAAGTAGAGAATGACCAAAGTTCATTTCTGGACAGTAGAGAACAATTCCAAGTTCCCCAAATGTAGAGATTTGGAAAGAATGCTGCTCCAGACTTGAGCAATGTCACAGATCTCAGTGACAAAGTACATCTACTTTGTCTTCTGAGGTTTCCCTTTTCTCTACTTAATGAAAGACCGACCTAGTCCTGGTCTCCCCCTAGGGAATCCCTCCACGCTGTGTTAAAGGGTGCTATGATGTTAGTACATGCCTAAACACGAGATGACCATCACATGCCACAATGGAGGAAAGAATCTTTTGTTTTCTTCCACAGCCTTGTTTAGAATGTCCACTTTGGGCCAATTTCCTTGTTCCTCTCTCAATCTACTCTCCATTAAAATTTTCTAAAACATTTAAAATCCTTCACAAACTCTTGCAAAAAATAGAAGAAAGCACTTGCTAACTCATTCTGTGAGGTCAGTTTAGCCTGACTCCAAAGCCAGGTAAAGTCATTAAAAAAAGAAAACAAAACAAAACTACAGGCCAGGCGCGGTGGCTCACGCCTGTAATCCTAGCACTCTGGGAGACTGAGTTCTCGCTTTTTTGCCCAGGCTAGAGTGAGTGCGTGGCATCAGCCTAGCTCACCACAACCTCAAACTCC